CCTCACTCATTTCCATTTTCTCCAGCTGAATCAATGTTTTCTCTCTCACGAAAGAAAACAAAACCACAGCAAATCACAGCTGAATATCCCCACCCACATCAAGATATTACTTAACTGTGCTGCCCACCAAAAAAAAAAACAAACCAACACTAAACATCATCAAAATTCATCAGAAAAAAAAAGTATTTAAACTCGGTTCTCAATAGCTTGATTTTTGAATTGACTGTTTTCGTAGAATCACAGAATCATAGCATGGCCTGGGTTGCAAAGGCCCACAGCGCTCCTCCAGTCCCACCCCCCTGCTGTGTGCAGGTCACCAACCAGCAGCCCAGGCTGCCCAGAGCCACATCCAGCCTGGCCTTGAATGCCTGCAGGGATGGGGCATCCACAGCCTCCTTGGGCAACCTGTGCCAGTGCCTCACCACCCTCTGGGGGAAAAACTTCCTCCTCATATCCAACCCAAACCTCCACTGTCACAGCTTTTGCTTTTCAAAACTACAGCTATATTCTAGGAGAGACAAAACAATCCAGTCTATACATAGAATGAAGCAGTTTTAAGCACAGTATTTTTCAAAATAATTTTCATATGTGAAAGTGCTGTCTAACTTTATTCAACCAATATTAACACTTGAAATCCCCTGGGCTGGCATCATTCCTTATATGAGGATGCTGTCGTTATTTCAGCAGTTTCACCAGCTGCCTTGTAGCCACCCACCTAAGGAAATTATACTTGACTGGAGGAATGAAACTTTTGTAATGAAGTTGAAAAAGAAAATGATGTAAGTGTATGAACACAAAACTAGTAGTCTGTCTCAAGCTTCTTTTACTTTCGCATATATAGACAGCCTTTGTGGTTATTGTAATTAACGACATTATTTAATGTCTTATAGTACCTTTAACTGTTCCTGTATTCACCCTGCTATTAAACCACAACTTAAAATCACTGTCAATAGGGCTGTTTGTGTATTTCCTTCCTTGTGAATCCACATGCATACTGCCATCTGGCTCTTGGGTTTCTGACCCTTCTTCTGTATCCATCAGCACAGCTATGCTATAGAGTACATTTGCAAGTAAATTTGTATTGTGTTGCCTTTCTGCTACATAATGTTTTTTCCAACTCATGTCTCTCTGTCCCTGTACTGCAACATCTTTTTATTATTACTGTTATTATATGTACAGAATGATCTGTTCCTACAGTTGCATCCATTCTATGAGTAGGCATCTCCAATTATTTTCCCTAGCAAGAACTACAGTTTTCCGAGCTAGCCTTGTTTCAAATATTTCTGAGAGTATTCAGGTGGGACGTTAGGAAAAATTTCTTCTCCCAGAGAGCGGTCAGGTGCTGGAATGTGCTGCCCCGGGAGGTGGTGGAGTCATCATCATCCCTGGAGGTGTTCCAGAAGCGTGTAGATGTGGTACTATGGGACACAGTTTGGTTAGGAAATATTGGTGGTAGGCGGACGGCTGGACTGGATGACCTTGGAGGTCTTTTCCAATCTTGGGTATGATTCTGTGATTCTCTGGGCTCCTGACTCTGTCCAGCACTCAGCTCCCCACCTGGCATCCTGACGTGTCAGGTATTCCTCATTCACAGAGGATTCATAGGATGACACTCGGGTAGGTATAAATATCAGCATGTCCCAATGCTGCTCTCAGAATAGGCGTTGATGCCCTACTTCTTTCTGAGACATACTTCAAACTGACTTTTTAGATCCTCTATGGATTTTGCCATTTAAGATGGCCAGCACAATGCAATGGCCACTTCATCATCCGTATTACCTGTGGGGTACAGATGCCAGATCACACTTTGTTGCTGTCCACAGGACAGGCAAGACCAATAGTCAGTGTTTGTCAATAGCACTGTGTTTTCCTGCTCAGGAAGGAACCAGCATGCGCTCAGTCACACCTCTCACCACACATCTTCCTCTGCCCTCCCTTTGTGTGATCAGCGATTCAGTGCTGCCCCATCAGGGTGCTCCTGCAGGGCAGTGTCCTGACAAGCACCCTGAGAGAAACCATCACTTTGTGATGTCTGATTTAGACACCAGGAGGCCCTTCTCCTCCCAGGGTGATCCAGATTGCTTGTGTTGGGCTCCTGGGATTGTGTTGGGCTCCCCCTGTGATTAACAGGAAGATCTGGCCCACATCCCGAGAAATAATGAGTCCTGGGGAGAGCTTACCAGGCAAGGCCACTTGCCAACACCACGTAGGCCACAGGCAGAGCTCTGAGCACACTGCGCAGCCTCTGCCGAAGCCCCCATCAGGAGCACCTCCCTGCCAGCGGCACCCACACAAAGATATCTGCAGATACATTTTTTAGAAACATTTTAGTGCTTCAAGCTGGTTAAAGAGAGGCGTTATCCCATTCTGCTCCGGGCTGCACTGCACGCAGATTTGGGCACCACAGTTTTACCAGGGCAGAAACTATCAGAGAGCATCCAAAGGAGGGCTGCACAGATGGGGAAGGGCCTGGAGGACAAGGGGTGTGAGGGGCACAGCTGAGCACCGCTCTACGACAGCGAGGGGCTGAGGGACGGCGCCGAGCTGCGGCAGGGGAGGGCCGGGGCTGAGGGCGAGGCTGCGCCCAGAGGGCGGAGGGCGGCACAGCAACCCTGGGCGGCGGGCACGGCCCCGAGCGGGCGGAGGAGCGCTGGGACGCCGCTGGGAGCCGGGCTGGAGGTGCCGTGTGGGGCCGGGGCTGGATTCCGTGATCTTTGGGGGTCCCTTCCAGCCCGGGATATGCTGCGACACGATGCCATACTCTGTCCAAGGCTCTCATAATCAGGTTCCAAGTTCCCACTCAAGGTCTCGCTCATGTGTGTAAGTACAAAGGCTCAATAAAGCCTTTACATTCAGACTTTATTCACTGGGAGCACTCAACCATTGGCATAAGTGCATCATAAAATAGACGGAGAGCTGTAATTTGTACCAATGGAGCTTAGCATTTCCTGGGGCAGATTTCCATCACGGGCAGTGCCTCAAGCTGAGGAAGCAGGAGGCTGAGAGGAACTTTTGTACGGATTTTCCCTCCTTCGGCTTCTCCTTCCTGCTCTCTGTAAGAACGCCAGCAAGAGCCTCCAGATCAGCAGTATCTAGGCCACTAAATAAAAGCAGCATGAATTGGAAAGGCACGATGTGCTAGCAGAAACCATTCAAATCTTTAAAAAATTAAACCAGTTTTACCAAGGCAGTTGTGAATCACCAACTTGAGTAAGGAGAGTTTCCAAGCCATTGCTCCCAACTTCACAATTGCATCCACGTGGAAGAATGTCATCACTCCAGCCTTCTGCAGGACCTCAGGTTCCCAGTGTTACTGGATTGTCGGCTCTGACTGAATGCAAGCCCTGCAGCCCTCAAAGATGGGCTGTTCTATGTATGTCCTGTCCATTTGCACAGAAGTGTGGGAGGTGTCAGGATGAAAGGGTTTGCTAAATAAGCTGTTTTTTTCTCCAAAACACTGATAATTACTTGAAAGCTGAGCTCAGCCTGCTGCTTTTCTTGGGCAGAGTGTGCTGTGACAAGCTCTAGTTCTCTAGTTCCCGTTTTCACTGTCCTTGTTTCAATTGGGGTTTATTATGGCAAAACCTTGTTCTCTGAGGCTTTGCACATCTTTGGTTCAATCCCCTAAAGAAATCAATTCCTGCTTGACAATACTACCTAAAATACAGCAGGAATTGGATGGGAGGGATGCACCAAGCAGAGATTCCATACTGAAGAGCGTTGTTTTGGATTATATTCCTACAATTTAGTATTATGATTTAAATACTAAAAATAAATCTGCGTTTTCTCCTGCCTTTCCTGCTGGGCTGTCAGGATTGCCAGGGCTGGATCTGCTGTCCCAGGCAGCTTTGGCCGTAGCTCCTGGAGAAGCAGAGCTTCCTGCCTGGAGAGTTGGTGGGCAGCCCTCCTACTGCAAACACATACATTTCTCTGCTGCTCTCCCTCAGTCCTGGGAGCTGCAGAATTTCTCTGCTCTTATGTAATGGGCTGCTGGTGGCTTTGCTTGAAAAACGTCTTTTCCAGCTGGAGGGGGATCAGGAACCCTGTCCTGGAGCTGCTAGGTCACTGCTCGCAGGGCTGCTGGCCAGGGCAGAGGTGCCAGGCGGTCGGGCTGCAGAAGGGAGCAGCTGAGCACCTCGTGCCCTTTACCCCACACCTCTCCCGGAGTCCTCGTCCCCCTCACAGCACCATGGGGCGGCTCCACGCGGGCGACTTCGGGCTGCAAACGAGGGATGAAACGGGAGAGGTGGCGATGCGGGGCTGTGCATCTCGGGGCAATGCCGCGGGGGAATGCAGCAGCCGTGGGACCGGGGCTGGGGTTGGCTGCTGCTCCGCAAAATCCCCGCTCAAAGCCCTCCCCAGGGGAAGGGGAGCGGGGGGTGCCCGGGGCAGCCGGTAGGGATGGACCGGAGGGGGGGACGAGGGAGGGATCGGGGGATGTTAAAATGCAGCATCATCCTCCCGCCCCAGCCAATTCCCCACGCGTGTGTGTGCGGAGGGAGGGAAGGAGGGAAGGGAAGGAGGGAGGAGGGCAGCGGCGCTTTCCAGCGGGGGGGGGGGGGACGACCGCTCGCCTCCAGCCCGCCCGGGGAAGCGGGGCTCGGCTCGGAGCGGGCACTGCGGAGCCGGCAGCGCTCCCTTTGCAATGCCCGAGCAACGGCGGCGAGAGGGGGGCCCCCGGCGGGAGGGGGGAGCTGCTCGTTGGCTACGGGGAGGGAGGAGGGGAAAAAGAGCGAGGGAAAAAAAAGGAGAAAAGCAAGGACCCCCCTCCTCCCTGCTCTGCCCGGTCCCTTCCACACACACACCGCACGCTCGCACACACACACCCCATTGATCAATATTTGGCTGTCTTGCTGCAACTTGCTGCAGTCTTTTAAAGGAGTAGTAGAGAGAGAGAGGGAGAGAGAAAAGGAAACTGACAGGAAGGGGTAAGGAGCTACACATGTCACATGTGCTTTCTAAGACGGCCAGGAGCATCTGCAGGCTGGATCTGGTGGAGGATGCTGCGGCAGGTGATACACAGAGGGCTCCAGTCGTTTTTCTACAAGCTGGGCTTATTCGTGAGCAGGCATCCGGTGTTTTTCCTCACTGTGCCCGCAGTCCTGACCATCATCTTCGGCTTCAGCCTGCTCAACCGCTTCCAGCCTGACACTGACCTGGAGAGCCTGGTAGCCCCCAGCCACAGCCTGGCCAAGATCGAGAGGAGCTTAGCCAGCAGCCTGTTCTCCCTCGATCAATCCAAAAGCCAGCTGTATTCGGACTTGCACACCCCGGGGAGGTATGGCAGGGTGATTCTCCTCTCCAAACCCGGAGGCAATATTTTGCATCAGGCTGATGTGATCCTGCAGATCCACCGAGCCGTGCTGGAAATGAAGGTGAACTACAAAGGCTATAATTATACTTTTTCCCATCTGTGTGTGTTGAGAAATCAGGATAAGAAATGCGTGCTGGATGATATTATTTCAGTACTAGAGGATCTGAGGCAGGCTGCCCTCTCCAATAAGACAACAGCCAGGGTGCAAGTGAGCTATCCCAACACTAAATTAAAGGTATGCTCTTACTGCATGCTTTTGCCAATTAAAGAGGCAGCACTTCATTTCTTGTCCTAAACAGCAAGAGGAATATAATCATATCTCTCTCTTTCTGTCTAAATGCGTTTGATCTGGGCTTTCCTCGGGAAGCAGCCGAAGCTGATGCCTTGCTATTGTTCTGTGCGAGGAGGGAGGGGGGGAAGCACGGTACTGAGCCAGGAGGAGCAGGGAGTGGAGAGCAGCCTGGAGACCGGGAGACCTTGCTGTGCCTCGAGGGGTTAATGCATCGGGAGAGGGGACAGGAGGTCGGAACCGGGTGTGGGGAGGAGAGCTGGGGTCTCGCTGGGGTCTCACTGGGGTTTTGCTGTCACCTATTCCAGCCCCAGTGACGTGGTAGGGTAACTGATCTTTGGTATGGCCAGAAAAAGGCTTTCCTCTAAGGCACGATGAGCTGCTGTATCTCCCTGACCCTGCGAGTGCCATAGGAGAAGCAGGAGGTTTGGGTGAGGAGTGATTTCAGGTGTTCTGCCTGCTCTTTCTTCACCTGCATGCATAGAAGGGGACGGGGGGTGGATTATTTTTTTTTCCTCTCAGTATGAAAATAATTAGTTCTGGTGCTGATGGATGGGCTGGAGTTTTGGGACAGATCCCATCAGCTAGAGGCTTCCAGTGAAGGCGAAACAAGGTAAAAGGGGACAGAAGCTTCAGCCCTTCTGATTAAAAAAAATAAACATTTTGGCACAAGTGTCTCAGGAATATTCCCCTGGCACACACGCACCCTTTTCCCTCTCGTAAGGAGCAGTCTGCCTCACTAACCTGCTGTGAGCAAATAAGGCAGAAAGTTTAAAGGTGGATGGTAGAAGTTTCTGCAAATTGTGACATATCTGCATGCTCCCCAGGCATTGCACCAGAGGCAGGGATTACTTAACAGAGTTGAACAGAATCCCTAGGTTGCTGGTCCCTCAGAACTCAGGTCACAGGGAAAGATGTATTTCTTGCTGCCCCTCAGAGATGAGTGCTGTTGCAATTACCGGCCAGGTCCTGAAGTTATCTTTTGTTACTCTTGATTTACCAGGGAAAAAAAGAAAAGCCAGTCGCTGCCCAAAAAACTAGAACAGAAATACTGATTGATTTTACTGGTCTTTTTCCTTCAGCAAAAGGGCCAAGTGGGATGCGTGGGATTTGGTCCCATTGCTGTAGATGTGACAGCATTTGTCTTGTGCAGAGTTGTGGCTCTTTGAGCTGGTGGAGATGGAAAGGTGTCCTTCATGCTGTTGGAAAGTCCTGAGTGCAAGCAGTGCTTGGGAACACTACGAGTGACTCTGGATTAAATACCCCTGAATAATTGTTGCTGTTTAATTCATTATGGAGACAATCCTGCTATAACACAAAATAAAAGCCTTTTCTTTCTATTTTGCTTATTTTTAAAATTGAAATTAAATTAATTCAGTGGAGACACCAATAATCTAGATTAACATCGCTATCACCCATTCTCATACAGAGATGGTGATTCTACTCCCTCGGTCCAGATTAATTTCCACATGTCTAACTACCTCTGCTGAGCCTGTCGCAGTCAGGATGGGGTCATTTGCAATGTGGTTTTTGACCATTTCTACTTTTCTTTTTTTTTTTTTAAATAAAGTGAGAAAAAGTTGACTGGGATTGGAGTCTAACAGTGGCTGGGAGAAAAATCATACACACAAAGTTTTTCTCAAAATGTGATTCCAAGTGCTGCCAAATATTAGCCCAGCACCTCCAATCCCCCATTAGTTGATGTGTATCATCATCCAGGTGCCCTTACGTGTCTGGTTTTAACACGGGACAAAGCTGGGTGCCTTCCAGCCACTTCTCAGCAGGGGGGTACATTTGGGGGCCACCAAAAGCTGTGGCTGTTCTTCAGAGAAAGGCTAAAAATGGCAGCCTGCACCTGTGGTAAGGAAAAGAGTCTCTGTTACTGCTAGGAAAGAGGGGTTTTCTTTCTCTGGTAGCACAAGGAATGGACAAAAGCACAGTTTAGTAAGGGCTCCTGGGTTTATTTATTGGCTTCCCTGTCCAACCTCTGAACAAAAGCTGAGGAAGCTCAGGTTTGTGCCACGTGCTCCTGGGTTGTCCAGATGTATTTAACTGTGAATGTCTTGGATGGGACACCACAAGAGCAAATCAGTGTCTGGATGTTCACCAAAGGGAACCACTCCTGTGATCATAGCTATGAGGTTTCTATTTCTTTTCGCTTGAGTCGTGACATGAGAGAGCAGTTGTGGCAGGACCTAATAGGGGGGCAAACCAGTCAGCCAAGGCTGCCAGCCATACGTGGTGTGGACCGGTGCTCACCACATGGCTGGTCCATGTCCTTGGGAGCTTTCTCAGCTAAAGTTCGCTGTAGCCAAGAGGGACCCATCAGGGTCTTCTAAGGTTGCCTCACTTTCTCCAATGACTTGGTGCTTGGTTAATACCAGTACAGTTTCTCATCTTTAAGAATGACCGTAGCTTGAAGAAAATTCTTCTGAGAACAACACTTTGGGTTTACAAGCCGTGAAGGTGCCCCAGCTGTGTTAGTCTGCAGCTGACAAAGGGCAACACCTGTACTTTTTTGGGAACCACAGTGACAGTCTTGAGCAGCTCCAATCCGCTCTCCTGCTCAACCTGGGACCTGTAAAGACCTCTTGTAGTTTTCCCTCCCCTCAGATCTCACGAGCAGCTCTCACTTTGTCTCTCTTCTTGTCTCCCAGTTGGGTAAGATGGGCTGGAGGTTGGCTGTGGATGAGGTCTTGCCATGTCTTTCACAGGAGCATTCTGTGCACCAAATTTCAGCAAACCGCTCTGATTTCAAATGGGCTGGATGGGGCCATAGAGTCTAGCAAAACTGCCTGTCCTTTTCTAAGAAAATCTGTCTGTGTAAGGTAACAATTACTCATTATTCAGAGCTGGAAGAGATTAAAGCCTTGAGTACATCTATTTTCACTGCCCTTCCCTAAGGAGGGAAGTCTTGGTCTCCCCATTTGACAGAGGAGGAGCAGAGAGATGGCGCTTACTTGCACTGTGCAGATTGCAGCACTGTTCTAAATGCTTAAAATGCATTCAAAATCCACTCTGGCAATGTAGGGATCACTGTAGTTTGTTTTTCTGAGTTGCTAGGTGAAAGCAGCTTTATTCCTACTGCCATCGCTGTCGGGACCGTGGTCAGTGCAGTTACAGCGACTGCTCCACCACGCTGCAGTCTGCAGCCCAGCCAGAAAATGACTTGCCCAAGGTCATGCAGACAGAGCATGGCAGAGCAGGAAATCAGAGCTGGATGAATGGAGTCCGGATGGAGACTTTTGGGATAAGTCATGGAGCAAGACTGCTCGCACTCACCCTACCACAGGCACAGAGCGATGTTCCTGAGCGGGGGTCTGGATTGAGCTCCTGCTATGTAGAGCAGGCAAGGTTACAAGGAGCACAGACTTGCACAAAGCTGTTAACTCACAGGTGTGTTCTCAGGGGTGATTTTTATCTGTTCATCTTCCCAAACAGTGCCGGAGCATGGCTTCAGGGATAGCACGAGTCAGAGTCCATTCTCAGTACATGTACTGCCTCCCTTCTGGGGACAGCAGTGTGTATCTGCTTGGATACGTTTTGCCTCTGCCCTGTGGCTACAGCACAGGCTGAGGTTCATATTATTTATTAATCTGGACAGACCTATTGATTACTTGGGGATATTTCTTGTGCAGTATCAGATATTGGAAAGATTATGGTCTTCTGACCCCTCACTGTCCGTAAGCCCCTCAAAAGTCCTGTCTTTACCGGGTTAAAAAGAAGAGAACGCTGCTAAGAATTATTTCTAAATACGGTTCTAACCTGGAAAACAGTACATGCACAAAAGCACTTTGTTCCAAGTATTTCATTTTTACTGTTTGTTTTCATGTTTATTTGCTAGTTTGTCTGAGAAAAGTCAATAACTTAAAACTTATTTCTTTGAGATCACAACAAACATGACAAGTGCTGGTTAAAAGGAGTCTTTGTGGGCAGATTGTTTTCCGTAACACTGCCTTCAATTAATTATCAGTTGTTTATGAGCGCTGCACTAAACAGCAGCCAATAAAAGAGACGTCTCTATTTCCACAACTACGATAAGCATATCTGTTGGATATGGGACCTTCTATTGCTTAAGCAGAAAAGTTGCGTGCATTCACTTTGCATCTTAAAACCTGTAATTGCAGATTTGTTACCAGCCAAGTGTTCTCCAGGGGCTTCCTTGGAGGCAGTGCAGCTCTGCACCATCCTGATCCTGCCTGCCCCAAGCCAAGCCTGTGGCTCAGCATCCTGCTGAGTGCTCTGTGGTTGGCAACGGCAGCGAAGTCAAATCAAACTAATAAAATATGAGCAGGGAGAGGATCAGAAGGGAAAGGCTAGAGGCAGCGGATAGTTCTCATTTGAGCCTCTCGGATCAAGGCAGGATTGGGAGCTGAGCTCGGAGCAGCTGCTCAGTAGCATGAAAGCAAGGCAGAAAAATGTGTGAAGGCAGGTAGCTTCTCCTGGCTCAGAGGCTGGGAGAACTTCCTTGAAAATGAATCAAAACAGAACAAGGACCCTCTTGTGCTCACACCTGTGCTTGCACACTCTCAGGCAGGATGAGGCAGAGCTCCTCACCTGGTGCCTGATCCTGGAGCTATGTCTGTGTCCTTGCTGCAAGATGTCCCTGCAGCTTTCAACTTCAAAGGACATGGTCAGACTGCTTGCTTACCCACTGTGGACAAGAAACGAAGCATTTCTTGCATATTTAGGAACATTCTCGACTACTTTCTGCACTTAATACATTCAGAAAGGTCTCTTCCCTAGTTCTGCAAGACTGGCTTTGAAGTTGATTTACCAAAAAGGGAGAGCAGACCATCCTGGCAGGGCCAGGGACATGAAACTGAATTAATTTGTACCAGGACAAGCTGTCCCATGGTAAACAAGCAGCAAAAACAGAGAAGAAATGTATAAATCAGTGATGGGGCTTAGTGTGCTTTTTTGCTCTGCTGTTCTCCAGGGCAACA